CTTTACAAGTACAAATTAACATCACCACATTTCAATTACAAGTATATATATCATTCCCTGAAGCATCGTGTCCCGATTTCCCTCCTTCAAAATTAGTTCCACAAGATTGGGGGATCCAGCACGCGATTGCACGCTCAATGATCAGTAGATAGATATTTCATGTTGTACTCCCTTCGCTTCGCATTAGCTGTAACTATAGGCTTGGTTCATAGTTTAAGAAAATTATAGATTAGGCTTATAGACTATAATATAAAGTATTGTTAGTAGAGATAGAAATAATAAAAAAAGTAGTGTGAGTGGGGTTGGTAGGAAAGAGAAATAATAAAATATTTGTGAAAGTGGGGTTAATGGGAGAGAGAAATTATAAATTAATGGTGGGCCCTTTCCAAATATAGTAGTGTTGCAACTAATATGAAACGGCCGAAAATGAAAAGTGTTGCAACTAATGCGAAACGGAGGGAGTAATTCACTGAACTTAGCTTGGATAAAGCACTTGATTATCCATACTTTTTTTTTTGAAGAAAAACGTTAGGGAGGCTTTTTTATGTTAAGGCCATGTTTACTTCACCTTACCAAAATAATATTCAGTAAAAATAATTTTAGTTTAGTAAAATTAATTACATTTCAGTAAAACAAGTTCAATTCAGCAAAAATAAGTTCAGTTCGATCAGTAAAATAATTTCAGTTCAATAAAAATCAGTAAAGAAAAATATAATAGAAAATCAGTAAAAATAATTTTAGTTCAGCAAAAATAATTTTAGTTCAGAAAAATTAATTTCAGTTCAGTAAAATTAATTTCAGTTCAATAAAAATAATTTCAGTTCAGCAAATATAATTTCAGTTCAGTAAAAATAATTTTAGGTCAACAAAAAAAGGTAAAGTGAACAGGGCCTAAATCACTAGATTAGACTCGTGCGTTGCACAATTTAATTAATTTTCATTATTATGCAAGAAATAAACTTTTATCGTATGTGTAAAAAAGACAGGTAATATTTTTTATTAGAATAATGTATAGTGTAGGTTTAAAAAAATAAAATAAATGATGACATCAAACATAGAAAAAATGGAGGGAAAATTTTTAATGTTAGAATGAGACGTAGGATAATTTGAGATTTGATGATGTCAGCAATGTTTTGTTTTAGTAATAGTTAATAGATTGCCCGCCAAAATAAAAACACTTTGGGAGAAAACATCCATACAATCATATTCAGAACTACCCCGAGTAACCCATCTCGAGTAATACTTTATTTTATATATTTATAAATAAAATAAGCGTTCCAAATTAAAATTTTACATGCCTTCATTTATTGTTTCTTTTTCAATTTCATGCATATTATCAACTTAAGTCAAAAAATAAAGATATTGTGGGTATTCATATGATTTAAACATACAATTGATACAACCTCAAGATCAAACAATAAATGCCTTACAAGTTACCACTAAGCCAAGTAATATTTCATGTTCTCTTTTGCAAAGGAAAAAAACAATCAAAATATAGTAAGAGATGATAATGTAAAAATAAAATTTAATTAAGAAAAGACTGACTTATAATTTTATAAACTACATGTCTACTTACTTTACAAGTTCTATAAAATGACCACGAGCATTACTCGGGCCCAAATACTATGGATTTCTAAAACTTCATGCAACTATGCAATCAATAATTGAATCAAGTTGCTTGCTTATGATAACTACTTTCTTATTATCTTTATGAAATGAAATGAGAACAACTTACGTATTGGTGGGTGGGGAATATGGAGAGAAGGGGACTAATTCCATGTGAACCAATTAACTTAGGATTTGGACAACCTATGTGATTTAGCTACTATCCAAATTCAATCAATGTTTATTTGACAATTGATAAACATGAACTTACGTATTAACTGAATTGCTTAATTAATTAGTCTCTTTTGATACGTCTATTTATTAATTTTATTTAATGAAACACGTTTATTTATTGATTTGAATGTTTAGAACCAAGTGAAAATGAAATATTTGTGTAATTATGAATGAAAAATTCGTTAACCTCATTCATTGGTTCAAGGCTTCAAGCTATGTTTTTGGCTTTCAGCGCAGGCACAAAAGTCCTTAATAGTTCCTTTATGTAATAGAGATAATGAACATAAACCTTAGGCAAAAATGTTGGATCAATGGCTTTAAAAGCCTTCATAAGTTCATATAGCCTATATTTCCAACAGAAAATGTATGAATTTTTTTGCTAACAATAGAAAAATTATTTGTGACTTTTTTTTTCACAAAGTAATATTCCCTCCATTATTCTTATTTAATTTCCTTATCCAACTCCCAAGAGTATAATTTCTACGTATTTAAAATTAGAATTATACATGTTTCTTTTGGGGGTTTTTTAGTATGGTAATGGTCTTTTTCTAAGAGAAGAGGCCAAAGGTACCATGGTTAAGGGTACCGAGTCACCTTTTAAAGTGACTCTAAGTGTGTTGTCAAGCCTAGGTCGTCAGTTGTTCCTACCCCTTTTGCCTAATGTTAAGGACTATTGGTATCTTTTTGAGCTCGTGTATTGTTAACAACCAACAACTATGTGTTCTGTGCTCTTTTATCCATTCTCCAAGATCAACGGTATATGGGATGCAAAGATAACAATGATAACATTAGGTATCTCCTAAAGCATGTTCGAAGGCAAACACTTGGTTTTTCAAGGAGCAAGCCCCAGTTTATAACCTTGATGAACAAATATGTTTATCAAATGGCATTTTCGTAAATAAGTTGCATTGAAAATTGTGTTTAATCTTTTGATTAAAAAATATATATTTTTATTGTTTCTGGGCCACTATGACAAGTTGAAAAGATTTTTAGAGTTAACGGTGTTAATTCACCATTTGTTACCATTCATCTTCTTCCTCCCACCATTCTCAAATCTTCCACCGGCAGCACTACCATAGCCATCATGTGGTCCACCACCATCACATCGACCACCATCCGAAACCCATCACAGCCACAACCTCTATCTGCCTTCCGCCAATCAAACCCACAAAAGCCTTCCTCTTCATCCTCTTTGTCCCGTCGTCGTCTTCCTCTTCTTCCCGTAGTCCTCCTCTTCTTCATCAACAATGGCTGCTTCGCGGCGAAACAAAAAGACACCCTACTAGAAAAGAGTGTAAATTAGGTTCATATCAACCCCTTAGGGAAAGCCTTTTATTCGTGGCGGCATTTTGAACTACCATAGGTGGTGGTGCCGTGGAGGAAGAAGTTGTTTCTGGGTTTGGGACTTTGGGTTTCAGATTTCCACCATTGAAATTGAAGGTTGAAGGAGGAGAGAGAAAACAACAAAAGGTTGAAGGAGAAAAGAGAAAATCAGAAAACACCAAAAGGTTGAAGGATGAGAGAGAAAATAATAGTTAACCAAAAGTTAGATATAATTTACATATACACCCCTTGATAAACAATTTTTGTTTATCAAGGTTATAAACTTGTATTTTCTCTATTTCAAGCCGGTTGTTTCTTGCAAGGATGATGTTCTGTAGTTTTATATGTAATAGTTGTACCATTGGAGTTAGTAAAGCTTCTTTGGGTAGTTTATCGAACCTACTCCATAGTTTGTAATTTTTATTATAAGTCTATTATGCTGATGTCCAAAAGAAAAAAAAACATTATTCCTTTTTCCTTTTTTTAACATTAGTCTATTATGATGTTTTGTTTTTAGATTTTTTAAATACTTTGAATTTATCAAATTCATATCAACTAATTGGTTGGAATATGCCTAGATATATATTTTTCGCAAATATTCCACCTAACATAATATTATCTAACCTTTTTTTTTGGTGAAAATATAATCAAACCTTATAATAAGATTTGGAATGTATTATTATTATTATTATTATTATTATTATTATTATTATTATTATTATTATTATTATTATTATTTCCATCTTTAAAATAATATATGTGCATATATATAAACAATCTTTCTTTCCAAATCAATAAATTAAAAATGATTCTCCATCCAATAAATTATTTTCTCTCCGTTCCTGATAATTCAACTCATTTTGCATTTGTGCGATCTTCAATGACCATATTCGACCATGAATATCTTCAACTATGTATAAGGGAAAAATTATAAAAAGTTATTTAATTTTGACCCCATAAATAGTAAGTGAGTCAAACTTTAATAAAAAGGAGGTAGTACATCAATTTATTTTATTTTAAGTTGTTAAAGCTTAGGTTTTATAAGATTAAAAAAAAATATATATATTTATAATATTGCCTTCCCTTTGAAGCTAAGTTTACAAAAATTGTAAACCTTGAGCGCACCATCCACTTCTTATTCTGTAAACACAAACTTTTTAATGGACTTGCATGATTGCATGTACCAAATTATTATGGGACCCAGAATATGAATCTAGCTTGTCACTCCATAAAATTATTAAAGTTTCAACTTTCAATTAATCCAAGAATATCAGCTATTATCATCACTCCATTATTATTATTAACGAAAACATGAAAAGGATCTCATAGAAAAAAAGAATCTGTTACTTTTACCACTACATTAGTATTGCTTATAAGACTGGTATATACTATATATATATAACAGTATAATAATGACAATCAAAACAAAAATAATAATTCTTAATAAAATGACATATATATGTATAAATAATATTATTAATTCTGTTCACAAGATTTCTTAAAAAAAAATAAAAATAAAAATAAAATAAAATAAAATAAAATAATAATAACTATACTTTTGTGTGCGGCTGTTCATATCATGTGACCTCTTATAAAAAGATTCATATAACACTGACCGAGTAACCTCTATAACATTAACAAACTAACACATGTAACACTGACGACTGAGTAACCCATATAACACTAACGAAGTAACATCTAGCGGGCCACACTGTGTCAACCACGTACAAGAATTTGGGATAAAAAAATTTGCAATATAATCTCACATTTTATAACGATAGATATATATCACATCTCAATCAATATATTTGCTTTGATACGTTAATCTTTCAATAAAGGAAGGAAATAAAATGAAATCATGATGTGAAAGCAAAACAAATCTCTTACATCAAACTAATTAGCTGTATATATGTATGCATGCATGTATTATTCATTTTATAAGCTAATTATCTAACCTCACAAAAAGGTAACAAAAATAATACTCCTTCATTTTTATAGCTCTTATCTAACATATAGATGTTACGCATATATTTATATATATATAAGTAGCATAAATTTTGTTTTAGCAAACCATATTATCTATCACACATTATTTTTAGTCTGGACTCTCTCGAGTTGTGACACAATCATTGTTCAAACAAAATGGTACGTCGGAGGTGTACTTCGATTGTTATTCTTCCCGTTATTGTGTTGCTTACGGTTCTATCAGTCACGATCTCAGAATCGATGGCGGCTGATGATGGTTGCAACAGATTTGAGGGGAGTTGGGTGTCGGATCCGAGTTACCCGTTATACGATTCGTCGGTATGTCCATTTTTGCGTAAACAATTTGATTGCCAAAAGAATGGAAGGCCAGATAAGTCTTACCTTGGCTATAGATGGCAGCCTACTGGATGTAATCTTACCAGGTAACTCTATCTCAATATTATTGAATGTGTTACAAGATAATTATTTTTAAATATTATTGAATGTGTTACTACAAGATTCTTTGTGTTAGAGAAAATTATGAGAATATACACATAACATTCTCTTATTACTTTTACGTTCTTATGTTCCATAAATACTTTGCTTGTTTTTCACAAATTTATTGTTAGACATATCTTTCGTAATAATTTAATTAAAATAATAATTAAAAATGTAATCATTAATAATACTACCTTTATTTTTAATTATTCCGGTATTTTTAATAAAGAGTATTCTTCCCTTGTTGCAAATAATAAGAAATGGGATACTATTTTACAAGTTATATATACTCTTATCGATTTTTTTGTTGATTACGATTTGACCTGTTTTCTCTCACAAAAAATTTCAAACTTAAACAACAAATAAAAACAGAGAAAATACTATATTTCGATAATTTTTAAAACCAGATAATTTGAAAATAATTTACACCAGTCAATTAACTAACATGAATCACGTGATATTGTTTACCCGTGACCCTTGAACATAATGATTTCTTGTATTGACCTCGTGTTAGTCATGAATAATATATACTTACGTAGTAGAATAATAAATATCTTGCAATATTGCTTGACAATTTTATTACACGAAGTATATGTTAATATTCGATCCTAGACAAATAAATTATGAAATACTCATAGAAAATTAAATTATACAAATTATATATTCCTATATCTTTAGACTCAATAATAAATATCAATTTTTAATATATATAATGTGAGATTTAATTAACATGAATTACTCTTGACTCTAAAATCGGATAGACATAGCATATATGCTGTAAGATTACCGTAGGATGATAACCAAGTTAAAGAAGAATGCGCAACAAACCATTGTGTATTAATTAGCACATTATTGTTTGAGATTATCATAAATAATTTTTTTTCAGACAATGAAAAATTAAAGATCTTACATATTTTGTATTTCATTACACCCCTGATTAAATAAGAAAACTTTGCCATTTATCCTATTTTTCAAATTGGATAAGAAAGTGTATGTAATCCCATAGTAGCTGGATATATTTTTCACTCTAGTTAAAGCTAATGTTGTTTGGTACACACATCCCATTAGTTGGTACTCTTGGACTCTTGGTAGGTAAGCTATACACAACATATAAGAAAAATATATCACGCTTTATTTATTTTTCTTGCTTTAATTTCGGTTTTTCTAAATAGTAATTGGAGTCATATAAGAATATAACAACAATTATAATAATACTGAGAATAAGGGATTACTCAAATGGTAAGAGCTTTCCACCTGATTCCAGGAGATCCTAGCATCAATTCTCACCCCTATACTTATGGCTCTCAAATGAAAAAAAAAAAAAAAAAAAAAAAAAAGCTACGTGAACTGAGTAAGATGATCTACGCTCTACTGGATTTTCTTTCAAAACAATCGGTTGGTGATTTGGTGATAAAAATAAAATACGTAGTATATCATTTTGTACGTTTTTCCCGCTTATTCTTTAAGATATATAATTTAGCTATTATAGTGATTTTTATACAAACACGGGTACAAGGTACTCTCGTAGGTATCTTTCGATTGTTTAGATAATTATTGCTCATTTATTCATCAAATGATTAATGATTAAAATTAATCTAGGGTGATGCATCCCGCATTTAGGTGAATATAATAATTTTCAAGCTACTTGCAAAGTATGAAATTGATTTATTAGTTCAATTTAATTGACCCCCTTTTTTTAACTTAAAATACAGGTATGATGTAAATGATTTTTTCACAAAATTTAGTGGAAAGAAAATATTGTTTGTGGGCGATTCACTAAGCCTTAATCAATGGCAATCTCTTACTTGCATGCTTCATGCGGGCAATCCAAACGCTACATACAACTTGACGCAACAACAACCCATGTATTCCTTTCAATTTCCTGTAAGTCACTTAATTAGCTTATTATTAACCATTCAATCTATTGCACTATCAATTCTTAACTAATTCATGGTGACTAAATTACAATAATTTTTAAACCAATATTAATTGATCTTGGAATTGATTCTCATCGTCTGTCCTTGTGGCTCTCTAAACACCCTAAAAAATAGGCAATTTTATACACTTGGTTGCTCGTTACGTTGGGTGAATGAGACAAGTGGTATATAGAGCCGCCAATGATAAGGCACTATTGGGTTTATCGGCTAAGTGTTGAATGTAGACATGTAGTTGTAATGGGGACGATAGTGACGGGGTTGCTAATGACTTGACATGTTGGGTAGAATAAAATGTTGGATTTCGTTGTACTCGGTGGTTAATTAACTTAAACAGCCCGTGTTGTGTACGGCCGGCCACACCGTGTGGTCACTTAAAGTAAACCCTATAACATTGATTAAGTAACCTTTATATTACCGACCGAGTAACCCCTATAACACTGACCGAGTAACTCTACAACAATGACGAAATAACCCCTTTAACACTGAACAAGTAACCCCCATTACACTAACGAAGTAAGCTCTATAGTGGCCGGCCACACGGTGTGACCAACCACATATAAGATTTTGTGTAACTTAAATTAGGAGGGAAAGAGACCTATGTTCCTATTGATCTAGAAAAAAGAAAAAAAAAGTTTCATAACATACAAAGTATACGTGTCATGTGACATCTTTGCATTCACTAATTTTTATAGTGTTGAACACATGACCAATGGTAATTAAGTTAGAAGTTCTAACCATCTAAGCCAATTTACTTATGTTTTTACATTTAACTCAAATGAATTACATCTAATTTTGATTGGAGGTGCTTATTTTGGTTTATTTTTTCTTCCTATATTGTTTACTAATATTTATTATGCACTTTATGTATTTAGAAACTTATACATTATAATATGAATATTTAAAGTAGTAACTCGGACATTACTTGGACCACACACTACTTGATTGAGTTAAATATGTGTAAGTTCAAGTATTTAATTTTAAAAAATTATGAAAAATAAACAAACAATTTTCTCTTCGAGATATGACTAATTTTCAAATATGTTTTTGGAATTGCAGGAGTATAATCTCACAATTAATATGCAATGGCATCAATTCCTAGTGGACGTAGATGTGGAACCAACAGGCAGAATTTTAAAGCTTGAGTCTATCAAGGGTGGTGATGCATGGACTGATTTTGACTTGCTCATCTTTGATAGTTGGCATTGGTGGTTTTACATTCCACCCCAGCAACCGTATGTCTCACTCTATTTTTATATTTTTTTTTTTTTTATACTTTTCAAGTATCTACTACTTAAAGCATTTTGCTAAAATGTTGTTAATGTATATTTGAGTACATTTGTAGATGGGATTTCATACAATTGGGAAATGAAACAAAGAAGGATATGAATCGGATAGAGGCATTCAAGATTGGGCTAGGAACTTGGGCAAAATGGGTTGATTCTGCGCTTGATCATAGTAGAACCAAAGTTTTTTATCAAGGCATCTCAGCATCGCACTATCAGTAAGATAATACTTGCCTTATCCTTCACCGTGAAAACTATATTATGCTTCAATTAGAAATTACACTACATGCATATTGTAGATAATCAGCTATTTATAGGTAGAACAATAGATTTAAAAGACAAAGTACTCGTAGCTATACAAAATAGTACTACGTAGAATTGTAGATGACATGAACTGAACTTGTATTCTTCTTATCATCTTATCTGACCACTTAACTAAATACTTATATCATATAGTCCGTCAAATTACAAACGAGATGTTATTACTCCATGTGTATGTTACATGTACCAATACAATAACCTCTCTTTTTTCTTTGTCTTTTTGTTTTTTATAATTAAAGCAACATATAAAAGACAATTACTAAATATTTGCCAACTTTGATTTTATATTCTAACACATCCTAAATGACATAATTTTCATGAAATTGGCAGTGGCATTGATTTTGGGAAACCAACAGCACAAGGTTGTTATAAGGAGACACAACCAATACTTGGATCAAAAAGCCCAGCGCCACCAAGCCCAGGAATTGGTATAGTGAAGAACATATTGGGCCAAATGAATAACCCACCTTTCTTTTTGGACGTCTCATTGTTGACCCAATTAAGGCCCGATGCACATCCACAGAAATATGGTGCCTCAAAAACTGGTGGAGATTGCACACATTGGTGTCTTGCTGGTGTTCCTGATACTTGGAATTTACTCCTTTATGCTTCTTTATAGTTTTTTAGGCCTTTAATTTTCATTTTTTATGATTAATTAAGGTATACACAATTAAAGTCTCATTCTTGATAGACTTAATATGTTGAATTACACATTTATTTTTAACGGATTTTTCACCATATACCCCTGTTATTTTTTATTCACCATATGCCCAACTTTTTTTTTCAAATTCACCAAAAACACTTGAATTTCAAAAAATTATCACCAAATACCCTAATTGACTAACGACGTCAACCTCCGTTAGTCATTAAGACTAAATATTCCACGTGGCACGCTAGGATTGGTTCTCTTTTAATTTTTTAAGTTAATTAATTAAAATAATTATAATTAATACAAAAATAAAAGCTTAAAAATATAAACCCAAGCCACCCCCCTTCCCCCACCAACCCATCCCCCTACTAGCTGGCCGCCGGCATCCACCCCCTCCCCCGTGCCAGTGTCGGCGTGACCCATCCCTCGCCGGCGATTCCATCCCCTCCACCCACAACCCCCTTCCCTCCTCTATTCCCCACCCTCGACAAACACCCCTGCCCCAAATCAAAAAACCCCCTCCTCCTCTCCCTCGAAAAACCCTCCCCACCGCCGAAGTCCAAGAACCCCTCCCCGCGCCGGCAAACCCAAACCGCCCCTTCCCCTGCTATCTCCACCCCTTGAACTACTACACCAAAACCCCAAATTAAAAATCCCTTAAATTGAAATCTAGGGTTTCAATTTTAATTTGGGGATTTCGATTTTGGGGTTTAAGGGTGTCGAGGTGATTGTTATCGGCTATGGTGGGTGACGGTGACGTGGGGGGAGGGGATTTGGGCTGCCGACGAAGTGGTTTCGGGGTGGTTGCCTGATTTTCGGCTAAGGTTGAAAGGCAGGGAGGGGTTTTAACAGTTCAAGAGGGGGGTGGGGCATGGTGGTTTAGGAGAATGGGCGGGCATCAGCGCGGGGTTCAAAGGAAGGGTGGCGCCGTCGCGTTGGGGAGGGGCGTCGGCGGCAAAGAGGCTTGGTTGGGTGGCAGTTGTGGGGAGGTAACTTGGCTAAGGTGGCTGGTAAGGGTTTAAGGTGGTGTTTTTTTTAAGTTTATAAAAAAATAATTAATTAATTAATTTAAAAACCAATAAGATGAAGCCACGTGGCATAATTAACCCTAATGACAAACGGAATTAACTGTCGTTAGTCATTAAGGGCATCTGGTGATAATTTTTTGAAACTCGAGTGTTTATGGTGAATTTGAAAAAAAAAATGGGTATATGGTGAATAAAAAAAGGGGGTACTAAACCACGTCCGATATTTACCGGGTAACGCTCGTATTTTTATATGAACTACCTTAAGTAACCCATTCTTAAATAACTCGTCAATCTTCTCTCTCTTACTTTCACTTTTACTTTTCTCTCTCTCTTCACCTTAAAAATTTCATCCACAACCACCACTAACCAAACCACCACCACCAAGAAAACCACCACCACCAAGCAAACCACCACAATTCCTTCACCACCAAACAAAGCCGCCACAATTCCGTTGCCACCAAGGGTTGCGACCGGCTATAAGGGACAATGTCAAGAAATTGAAAAGGTAAGGGGGTTGGCGATCAGGTACTTGTTTTACATTTTTTTTTAATTTTAGTCGTTCCAGACGAACGCCTGAAATTTTAGAATGTTCCATGGGAGGAACACTTGAAATTTTAGAGTCTTCCCCGGAACTTTCTAAAATTTCAGGCGTTTCCCCCCTTGAACGCTTGAAATTTTAGAATATTCCAAGGGTGATTCTAAAATTTAAGGTGTTCCTTCTATGATTACAAAACAAAAAAAAATAAAAAAAAAAACCGATAAAAATTCAGAGCATTCACCGACTCCGTATGCTCCGACGACCTTTCCAGTGGCGTCGTTGCTTCCTTAAACTCGTCATTCATCGTTTGCGCTAATTGGTGAATAGTAAAGCAATTTTTTAAAAATATTTATGACGTGGTGGTTGTTCGTAGGTGATGGTTGTTTGTTGGTTGGTGGGGTAACAAGTTAGATATTGGTTAAAGAAAGTGAAAGTGAAATTGGGTACATTTTATATGGGGGCATGTTTGTAAAGTCATGTTAAAATACGGGCGTTACCTGATAAATACCGGACGTGGTTTAGCAATTCACATAAAAAAAATAACTCAAGGGTATATGGTGAAAAATCCGTATTTTTAATGAAATGTTTAAGTAATAAAAATAGAATTGTACTATTTTTTAGGATTTATTTATGCTCTCCATTGCATAATTCTTTTGAATTTATAGATTTATAGCACTGTTTTAATTGTTTTTAATGTTTAAATGGGTAGTGTATTATTTTCTTTGTATAAGAAATGTGAGTGGGACACAAATCCTTGGTGCAAGAAAAAAGTACGCACATGAGTGAGGGCGTAAATATTTAAAGAAATATGGGATATTTTAGGTAGTTGAGTGAATAAAAACAAAAAAAAAAATACGAAAGCAATTTGGTCTTTTCATAGTGTCCAGAAAATGAAAAAAATAAAAAATAAATTGGGATACTTGAAATGGAAAATGGGAAAAACAATATGGGATAGCCAAAATGGAAAATGGGAAAAACATTATGGGATGATGTAGTACCATATTTGTGAAAATAAGGTTATATTGGAAGAAAGAAATAACAAAATAAAAGTAGATCCTTACCGACCAAATAAAAAAGTGTTGCAAGCAATTATTATAATGTGGACGTAAAAGAAAAGTATTGCAGAAGGAGTTTAGAAATTAATTTTGTAGACAATGCAGACAGAGTATTATATTTATAGATTAATATTGATAGTTAAAAAAAAATCTATAAAACAAAATTTATTTATAGAATAAACTAAATAAATCCTGAACAAATATTTGGTTTTCCTAATAATATTGAATATATAAAAGTTCTTTTTTAAAATAAAATTATTTTTAAAATAGGTTATGATTTAGGAAATTTTGATTTTTACCACCTCCAAAAAACGACTTATTGGCTTTTACCACCTACATAAAAAAAAGTTTTATTTTACCACCAATAAATTACCAGAAATTGGATTTTACCACCAACTGACGGATTCCGTCCATGAATGTGTTAGTAGGGCCCACCTTTTTGACATTTTCTCTTCATCTTCCCCGATCTTCCATGTCAACCAATCGGCAATGAAATCAACTTACCTCGGTAGGTCGGAATTTCATGTGGGACTAAGGAGGGGTCGTCGGAATTTGGTGTGGGCTAGGGAGGTGGTCGGAATTAGGTGGTGGCTAGGGTTTTAGCTTAGGAGTGCGAAATTTGGTGGTGGCTAGGGTTTTTAAGAGTGGCCGGAATTAGGAGGGGGCTTTATGGGTGGTCGGAAATCGGTGGCTAGGTTTTTGAGGTTGGAAATTGGTGGAAAGGGGGTCGGAATCCGGTAGTGGTGGCTTGTGCATTGTGCGATGCGGTGCGGTGGTTGTGGCTGATGTGTGGCGAATTGGTGGTGGGGCTGGTAGCGGTCTAGCGGTGGGGATGGTAGTCGGTCCGGCGATGGGGCTAGTAGTCGGTCCGGCAGTGGGGCTGGTAGCCGGCCTGGCGGTGGCAGCAACCGCCAGTTGATGGCTGATTTTTTTTTAAAAAAAATTTTAATTTTTTTTGTTATTTTTATTATTTGTTAAAAAAATTTACCCAATAATATAGTGACATGTATACATGGTTGGTCCCACTATCGGATTTATGGACGGAATCTTTTAGTTGGAGGTGATTGGCGGTAAAAGCTAACTTTCATTTTTTTATGTGGTGGTAAAATAAAACCTTTTTTTATGTAGGTGGTAAAAGCCAATAAGTGGTTTTTTTGAGGTGGTAAAAGTCAAATTTTCCTTTTATTTACTATAAATAAAAACTATATAAGTATATATCAATCATTCCCATAAAAAAAAGTATATATCAATCATTGCATATCAATTATATACACAAAGTCATACTACGTACATTTACAATATAAATCAAAACTAGCAAATATAATATAAATTGGATCAAATAATATTCAAATTGGATAAAATCACGATCGTTGTAGATGAGATTTGATATTATGGATGAATACCCTCTTTCACATTGATGTTTGATACAGTGGTGTCTTTCGATTTATTGTAGTTTTGAAATCAAATAATATTTTAATGCAATTGTAGCTGTAAAATATATAAAATAAAAAAAGCAAATTTATTGCTTAAGTATAAGATATAGATTAAGGAAAATGATATACATAACTAGCCCTTAGGGAAACATGTAGATTGTAAAGAGCTAAAAATAGAAAAAACAAATTAATATATAAAAAAAACAAATAGAAAAAACAAATTAATATATAAAAAAAAAACAACACTGATTTGCTTGTGATTTTGCCATTCATTTCTAAATTAATTTAAGAATGATAAATGCTTATTTGTAACCCTTAGTGCTACATATATATATTTTAAATAAAATTAATTCATACATAAAAGTCATACGACATCTACAGAGAGATTTAGATCTACCAAATACATAATAATTAATTCAAAAAATAACAACATTTCGCAAGCAAAGCTACGATCGTTGTTGTAAATCGTACATTCTTCATACCCTCTTTCATTTCACTGTGATTTATAGCCTTCTTCGGCGAGGGGGTCTATCGATCTGTTGTAGCCGTGCAGAAAATTTTCGTCTGATTCATTAGATTGTAATTGAAATATTAACCTCTTTTTCGATCCCAGTAGACACCTACTTTTGGCCTCCTGTCCGACAGGACGTGCAATGATGTTACAAAAACCCGTTCTTCATGCTAGATCAAAGTTGAAGTGTTTATGGACTACGAAATGCATTATGAAGTTAACTTAAAACCCATATTTGAGACCAAGTTATCTTAGATCCTAGTCCGATAAATAATTAGGCCTAAAACGTGCTCATACATGTTTAAACTTGATTAATAACGGACCTAAATGCGTCAAATGCAATGATTGGATCCAATGGATCTTACGTTTTTAAAAAACCGAGCCAATTAGATAAACCAACCATCAGATTTCCGTGTAAGACCTATACAGATGGATAGCCCTTTCAAAAATATTTCCAACGGTATATTATAAGCCCAATTCCGAGTTAAAACGAACAAGTTATCATCAAAATACTAAGTCGGACG